TAAATTTACAAAGTTCCATAGTTCTTTATTGTTTTATTAATAGTAATAGTTTATAAATTGGGGGCAAAATTATAAATCTCCAAAAAGTTGTGTAATCTATGTATTTCAACTATTGTGATCTAAAACTTAAAATAAAGTTATTTTTATTTAGTTGTATGTATTAAATATAATATTTCAGGAAAATGGTTTAGAAAGTTTTGATGAAGATGGCCTATCAGATGATGATGACTATTTGGTAATTTAGTTGTTATAATTTTTAAAATCTAACACCTGAACTAATATTTATTTATATAGGCAGGTACATTGGATGATGTTGATAGTTCAAATGAATCTGGAATTGAAGATACTGTTCTTAAAAATAAAAAAACTTCCACAAAAAAAAGAAAGGCAGAAGAAAGTGATGATGAATTATTACCAATTGAAAAAGCAGCTAAAAAATTAAAAGCTGCAAAAAAAAAAGAAGAGTATAAATAAAAATAATATAATGATTATTATGTATTGTATTTTCTTAACTATTATTAATTTATTAATTCTTAACAATAATTAGTGCTGAAGCCAATGAGGAAATGAAAATGCAAATTAATGTTGCAAGCCAAGATGTTTTTGTTTTTCCTGCCAGTGATAAAATTGACGAACAAATTCCTATACCTGAAGTAGAACAAAGAATTAAAGATATTTTATTAGTATTATCTAATTTCAATAAATTTCGTGAAGAAAATCGGTAAATTGAATGTAAAAAAAATAATTTTTTCAGCTATTGTATTTATTTTTTTTGTTTAGAAGCCGACAAGAATACACTGAACTGTTACTGAAGGATTTGTGTACCTACTTTAGTTATAATACCTTTCTAATGGAAAAAATGATGCATTTATTTCCACTTGAAGATTTAATGTCATTTTTGGAAGCAAGTGAAACACCAAGACCAGTAACAATTCGAACGAATAGTTTGAAAACCAGGAGACGTGATCTTGCTCAGGTATATATCTTACTTTTTGTTGAAGATCATCATTAATTTTTTTGAATTGTAGGCATTGATCAACCGAGGAGTTAATTTGGATCCTATCGGTAATTGGTCTAAAGTGGGGCTTGTTGTATACAACTCTACTGTACCAATAGGAGCAACTCCTGAATATTTGGCTGGACATTATATGCTTCAGGTAACAATATGATAAAATTAATGGCAATATTGTAGTTCATAGTATTATGGTGGTTCTAGATATTTTTCAATGTTATTAGGTTTTAAAGTGGTATAAATTGTTTTATCAATTTTAATTTATAATCATTCGCAGCAGAAGAAAACTGACATATTCACTATTTTATATAATATGTTATGCACACTACTGTAGCAAATTGGTCAACCAAAGAATTTTTTTAAATTATAACTCAACAAATAATAATAATTAATAAAACTTGATTAATTATTAGTTGTTTATTGTCAAATTTACTATTTATCTAACATTATAAAATTTAAATTTGAAAATTGTTTGGTTGTGTAGTTCTTATCATATACTCATGTAGTTACTTTCTAATATTCAATTTATATTATGATTTAATATTAAATATTCATATTAATAGGCAGCTTCCAGTATGTTACCTGTTATGGCATTAGCTCCTCAAGAAAATGAATTTATTTTGGATATGTGTGCTGCACCTGGCGGTAAAGCCTCTCATATTGGTAAATATATATTTTTTTTATTTATAAATGTTCACAATTTTCACCTTAGTTAGTTAATTAATAAAAATATATTTTGTTGTAGCTGCAATAATGAAAAATACAGGAGTTTTAATTGCTAATGATGTAAATAAGAATCGTGCAAAGGCAGTTATTGGTAATTTTCATAGAATGGGAATTGCCAATTCTGTTATTTCAACGTATGATGGTAGACATATACCTCAAGTGAGTAAAATTTAAAACTGCCTTTATATTTGTTAATAGTCATGTTTAAAAAAATCTTGTATGTCATACTAATGTACTATGTTGAGTAGTATTAAACTGTTTTAACAATTAACTTATTATATGATTATATTATATTTTTTTCTCTCTCTTTCCCCTAAGTAGGTACTAATGTAACTCTTATATATTTATTTAAAATGTAATTGGAATTTATTCCGTAATAAACAATATTATTATTATTATTATTATTATTATTTATATTTCAGTTATTCAAAAATTTTGATAGAGTATTATTAGATGCTCCTTGTACTGGAACTGGTGTCATAAGTAAAGATTCTGGTGTTAAAATGAGTAAAGATGAAACTGATTTGCAAAGATGTTTTACATTACAACGAGAATTATTGCTAGCTGCTATAGATTCTTTGAATTTTAAAAGCTCTACAGGCGGTTATTTAGTTTATTCAACTTGTTCTGTACTTGTAAGTGATTTTTCCTATTTGATCCTGATTTTGAAATTTATTGATTTGATTTAAATTGTGGATAATTTAGTTTATAAAATATAATTATATTTACAATTACTTTTTTATTGTTTTAGGCGGAAGAAAATGAATGTGTGATAGATTATGCTTTAAAAAAAAGAGATGTAAAATTAGTTGATACAGGTTTAAGTTTTGGTACTGAAGGTTTTACAAATCTTCGGCAGCACAGGTATTATTTTTAGATATTTTCTAAATAAAATTATTATCTATTGTATTGTAATGTATTCCATTTTGATTAAGGTTTCACCCTACGATGAAACTTACCAAACGTTTTTATCCACATACTCATAACATGGATGGATTCTTTGTTGCTAAACTAAAAAAATTTTCAAATATTATTCCCAAAAACGATGAATCTGAAGATAATGAAGAAGAAATCGAATCAAATAATGTTGATACAGAAACTACAGAAGTTGAGGACATTGTTGAAAAACCAGTAGCAAATATAAAAAAACCAAAACACGGCCGTGGTAAAAATAGAGTTGCAAAAAACAAATAAATGTTACTGTTTGACTTTGACTATGACTTCAGAGTAAATAAATGTTTTAAATTAAGTTAAAAGAAGTATTTTTTTTGAACCTCAAGGTATAAACTCTAATTATTAGAGTATTATACAACAAATTATTATATAATCTAGAATTTAATTCTCAATTTCTGAAAATTATATAGCTTGGTTATTGTTTGATTATAATTATAGGTTAATTTGAATTTTATAGAAATGTATAAAATTAATATGAAAACTTTGACAAAAATCCCAAAAGTTCTTAATAATTTCTGTTTACTGAAACAAGCTCTAAATATAACAGACTACGGAGTATGTAATTCAACATGATCTAAAAAAAGACAAAAGTTATCATTTGTATCCGTTGTATGTATACTATACTAATATGAAAAATTAATGAAAAAATGTAATTACCAACCACACTTGATAATAGATTTATTATCTATGACTTGTATAGTATATATTATGATAAAAACATAGAACTTATCAAATACACTGAAATATATTTTTATCAAAATGCTGTATTAATATATTTGGATTTGATCGATGTTTTAATGACACAAGTTTTTAGTTATAGCATTCTCTTAATCTAAATATAATAAAATGGATCAACTAATGGTTGATCTATTGATTTTTGAATTATATATCATCAAACTGTATCTAAACTATTAAATACCTAGTATTAAATTTATGCAAACTGAATAAATGCAGCACTGTCCCACTGGTCACCAGTACGAATTTACATAATCTATAGCCGTGTGTGATGTAAGTATATACATCATTGAACTATATGAAAAATATGATATAGTTCGATGATGTACATTTACATCTCCATCTTGCATGGAAAATGAAATATGATTCTATGATCATGTAATTTTAGTTATTTTTGACCTATGTTGTCCAAATAACCTTGCTACTCCTTCGCCCCACCAGTCATCACTAGAGTCATAGAACATGTTCTATGCTGGACGCTAGAGTAGTGGAGTACTAGCCAGGACCGTATTCACACTTTTTGCGCCCTGGGTTAACAATATTTGAACTCCCCCCCCCTCCAAAAAAATAAATCCGTTTTTTAGTTGTTTAGTTATAGTTCTTTATTTCTGAAAATGTTGATAAAAACACAGATCACGATGATACATTATTTTAATTACTGTCAAAATGGATAACAAGTAACAACATACAATTGAAATCTATATAAAAAAATTAATAGTTATCATTGATTGACAAAATTAGTAAATAAAGCCAAATGGCTGTATCATAGGGATGCAATGCAAAAAGTACAAGTATAGGTACTCAAACAAATTCTTCCAAAAAAAAAAATGTTAATTAAATAAAATACACCGGCGCTTGGCCGCCCCTCTAAATGTGTCAAAAATTAGCCGCCCGGGGCAAATATCCCCGTGGCCCCCCCTTAAATACCATAAGTACTAGCATAGAACAATGTAATAGCAATACGTGTAGATAAAATAATCTCATACTCCTGAAGCCCGACACACTGTGGGTAGGATACTAGGATATTGTTTTGTGGTTATAATATAGAACATTATATTTTATTAATTCGTGGTTATAACAACAAGGAATTTTTTCATTATATAGAGCATAGAAAATATAATATTATCTATTATCTATGATCTATAGCCGCTTATGATTTTATCTTATCAAAAACGACGAAAATTGTGTGATAATGACTCGTATACAAATTTGTTTGTTCAAGTACAACCACACATTTAAATAATATACCTTATGCCACACTTTCAAGGTGTGTATTTTTTAGTTCTTACTATGATAAGGGATAACATTAACAACAATATTATTATTTTTAATTGTTGTTATTACTTATTAAAACACACACCATTTAGGGCTTCAACTCCCATTCATAGCCATCAACTAATCAAGAATATTGTGCGTCACAGAGTGTACAGGTCTCACTGGTATTTTGATTGTGTTCTGCTACCGGGATTATGTAACATTCTAGGCACTTGTCGTTTTCATTGTAATGGTCGAACAGCATTATTGTCGTTCTGCGTTTTGAATCGATCTGCGGCGGTGTTGAGTTGAGGTGACTATGTCGATATTCGAGAACAGTGCAACTTTGAAGGACAAAGTCGACGATACACATCCATTGAAATGCACGATTCTCAATTCACGGAACACCAGTGGATATACGGTGCTTAAGAATAATAACTGACTTTAAATACTCGACCACAAAGTATAACAATAATTAATGATTCGTGTTGTGTGTTTTTCGTTAAAGGAATACGTCATAGAAGTAACGCGTACGGGTGGTCAGAATTACACTTGGAAAATATTTAAGCGGTACAGTGATTTTGTTAAACTTCAAAATATGTTATACAAGATGTCATCAAAAATCAGTTTGGATTTACCACCGAAAAAATACATTGGTAATATGGATCGAAAATTGGTGATGCAACGACAGAATGCTTTACAAGTAATGTAAAAGGTTTTAATAATATAATAGGTACTGGATATTTCAAAACTGTTCACTTTATCTTCAAATTGAATCTATCCTGTGCTTTATCTAGCAAATATATTTGTATTATATTGCCTAATAACAGAACCAAGATATTTAAATAAATACAGTAAAACTCGCTTAAGACGCTCCCGCATAAGACACTTTCCCGCTTAAAACGCTCTAGAGAGCTGGTCCCTTAAAGAGCGTCTTAAGCGAGTTTTACTGTATATAAAAATAAATAATTGGACGGTGCCTGGGGCCGGGTAAAAGGGAAGAAGTACAAATTCACTGTTTTGTGAAAACTAAAAAAACTTTTCCTATTTGTACAATGACTGATTCCTTTTTTCCTATAGGTTTTATAAAAAATGAACCTACAATTTGTTTAATTTTTTAACGCTAATCAATGTGGATTATAATATTCTACAAGAATATTCAATAAAAAAAAAATAGTAAAAATGAACTTATTTTCTTTTGCCAGGGCACTGTTCTTTTAATAGAGGAGGGGATCTACACAAATTTATCAAACATTTCTTTTTTAAATTTTTTTTGTATTGTAATTTATTTTGTTTGACTTGAAAAATTAAATCCCAGATAGGTTCTAATCTTTTCTAACATTAGGTGTCTGTTCAAGGTGTAATCTTTTAAAGTTATTATGATTCTATATTTCTATGGTCTTACTTAATTTTTTTCTTGTTTCCAATATAATATGTTATAACCAGGGCTCGTAACTTCATGCACTAAAAAATGCATAAATAAGCATGCATTCATGCACTAAAAATTGTCAAAATATGCATTAAAATATGCACTTAAAAGTTCAAAAATATGCATTTATATGCATTAACATTTTTAAATTATGCACTCAAAATATGCATTATGTAAAAAAAAACATGACCAAATTTTAAAATAATAAGAATAAATCCATACATTTTAAAAGTATTTTATTCATCCTAATTTTTATATATTTAACAGTCAAAATTAATAAAATAAAAAATAAAATTAATACTTGTGAAGTTCAAATAGCTTTGTCATCTTTATAAATTTTAATTAGGTAGTCAATTTTGTCTAATTTGTGTACACCCTTATTCAGCACCAGCAATGAAAACATTTGGAATGAAATATTAGGTTTTTCATTTTAGGATAATTTAGTAATATATATTTTATAAGTGTTTTTTTTATGTTTTCCAACAAGAGGGCGCATAAGTAGACAAAATATGGCATAAAACCATGGTTTCGTAATTCAAGTAATACGGCTTATTGAAGTGGTTTACAGTAAAAATACCTATTATAAAAATTGTAAAGTAGAACTTTTTTTACAATCGTAAGAAGCCTGATTTTCGATATTTTTATTAATTAGCTAAATAATTATTCAATAAAAAATTTAAAAAACCGTTATAATTTACCATGCGATATTGGACGATTGGAACAAGATATCAAAAACCGGAAGAAACTTTTCAAATATTTGTCTAAAAAATATTTTTATGAAATAATATGCACTAACGACTGTAAAAAATCAACTATATGCCAAATATGACTTTACACCCAAAACATGCAAAAACATGCACTATCAAACTTCATATTATTATTACTATTGTTATGAAACGGATTTGTATCTCAGTTAGCATGTTTTCCTGTGTGGCAAAAAAAACATGCAGATGCATGAACTTATGAGCCCTGGTTATAACATTTGAAAAAGTATAAATAAAAAACTAAAACCAAATTCCTATACTAAATATTTCATTAATTAAACAAAAAAAATATTCATCTTAATAAGTTTTTTTTTTTATTTAAAGATATTAATATGTTTCATTTCTTCAATTTTATTATTTACATTAGGTATTTTTATAATTAAACGTATTCCATTTAATTGATTGTAGTTTTTCTTTTAATAAGCAATGGACAACTTACATATCTTAGAAAAGTTCATACTTTAATATGTAGGTGTTATTTAAAGTCTAAATATGTCTTATAAATATTTTGTTTTTATGTTTTTAGAGCTCTTTAAACACAATGGTTGAAAATTTAATGTTAGCAAATTCCTTACTAATCAGAAGCTTTTTGGATCCTGAATCATATAGTGAATATTGTAAAGGTAATGTTGACTGCTATTACCTATTAGTAATATATGTATCTTATGTTTGGATGTATTTAAACATTTTGAGCTTAAAATTAGGACCTTTATTTAAATTTATACTTGTAAATGGTAACTAGCTGAAGTAATAAATGCTACGATAAACTGCCAACATCAAACTAACAATTTTGTGAGATGGAACAACCGTTATACACTTCTTGTTGGACAAGACTTAACCAAACCTTCTGTCATTTCTAAAATTCCTGAAGAGCTAGAAGTAGATATTAACATTATCGCTTCAAGAATTAGGTGAAGGGATTCCAATTATAAGCTCTAGAGATAATAAAATATCGTTGGAAAAATGTTGAATTAATATTGGTCATTGTATTTGAAAACAAAATAAATATTAACAAATCGTTATTATCTTTTACTTATTATTTACATTGCTTATTTATTGAAAAAAAATAAATAATATCAGACTATTTTTCCAACCTTCAACTCATGCATATTAATAGTATGTTCCAATTAAAATATATATGTATTATTAAAGCTGTACAAGATAAACTTAACTTTAAGTTTATTAATACATCCATTGTTTTTTTTAGAGTTAACCTAAAACTATTTGTCCTACTTATACATTGGGATTTAGGATATAATTTATGTAGGTTATGCATATATATATTTTTTTTTTAAATAAGAACGTCTCACGTATCCCCTCATTTCAAGCACTAAATGTAAACCACTATATTGTAATATGTTACAAAAAAACATAAATAACAGTTAAAATTAATATAATATGAGAGATAAGAATATTAGTATGATTATTTTATACCTGCTATAAAGTTCTTTACAATGGACAACTGAGGAGCATAAAGTTTTCAGTGTACCTACATATAATTTAATAATTTAATGATTAACAAATAACATTTTATTCTAGAATCTTTATTCCAAAAAGTTGGGATGGTACTAAGAGGTAATCGAGAATTTGAATTGTCTAAAGAACTACCTAATATAGGATGGCGTTTAAAAAGGAAATCATTTTTATCTAAATGGAAAAAAGATCCAAAACAAGAACTTTTATTATCATGGACTGAATGTGGTCCTGACCTTTCACTTAAACAGCTGGATTTAGTTACAGTATTAAAATCTATCTCTAGCATAATAGTAAGTTGGACAGTTTTTAAATTTAAATAAGTATAACTCTTTTTATACCATTTTAATATTTGTTTGAAGCATCCACTTGTAGACATTCCTGTGATACTGCCAAGTCCTGAAGGATATACATTATCAGTTCATAATATACAAGTTGGCAGTTTGAGAGATCTGCTCTATCAAACAACGCCTTTACAACCTTTCTTAAAAAAATATTGGGATACTTCTTCACATGTTTATTTACCAGACCAAACTATGGTATCCTATATTAAACAGATCTTATATGGACTGAAATTTTTACACGATAATCATATCCCTTATGGTTGGTAAATAAATATTAAATTAATTGAACATTGTTTATGTAATTTAATTTGTTTTCTAGGTCACTTGCATTCTGGAAATGTTTTAGTCTGTGATATTGAAAATATTAAACTAACTGGCATTGAAAATAGTTCTTTAGGATTACCTTCATATTATCGTTCATATTTAGTACAACTTGGAAAAAAACGTATACAAAGTTTAAATGATGTCGATATATATGGATTTGGACATATATTATATGAGTTTACGGAGAATGAGCCTTTAACAAGGCCTTTTTGTGAACATTTTTCACAAAAAACTTCATTAAATTTGAGTAAGAGCAAACTTTATATTTCATAAATAAAAAAAAGTATCAATGTGTAATTCTTAAGATTGTTTTTTAACATTTAAATTATATTTATTTTATAAAAATATCCTAACTATTAAAATCTCTGAATTAATAAATAGTAAAAAATTATTAAAGAAATAAAACTTTTTTCAGCAAAACAAATGAAAACTATACTTGCACCTCCTTCATCAAAGTTACTTATGCCAAGTGTGAACTCAATAATAACAAATTTAAAACATGCACGAATGATTGAAGAACAAAAAGATCCATCGTTTTTCCAATGTAAAATACCAGCTTTAGTAAAAGAACATTATATAATAATTGCAGAAAAATGCATGTCTAGAATTTTTGAAGACCAAAAAAAAGTATGTATACACAACTTTAAATTAAAACATTTATAAATATTAATTGTTTTAAATGTATAGATTGCATTAGAAAAACGTCATAAAAAGATTTATAAAATTATCCATGACCCAGAAAAATGTACTGAAGCAACACAATCAAAACATTTTGTATGTAGATAATAAAATAGTTGTTCTGCACTTCTACTCTAGCTTTACTAATTATGATTATTACTTTTAAAGGATTTTCATTCAATCAAAAACCGTAGTTCAATTGATATCAACAATCGATCACATAGCTCTAGTAGTAACAGTACATTAACCTCTACAGGATCTGATATTAGTAAGTCATTTTAATTTTCTAGTAATATAATAATTTTAGGTGAATACAATTTATTCTTTTACCATTATTCATTACAGTTAAATATAGACAAAAATGTTTTAAATAAACATTTTAAGCATGAGTAAATAATATTTTGTTTGGGAGTGTTAATGTTGTACATATCAACTGACTGGTAAACTTGATTTGTATTTTAGAAATATTTATGTGGATAGACCTTAAAAATTATAAATATAATCGGCACTTGTGAGAATGCATTAGACATTTTTCTGAACTCGGTTCTTTTTCTTTAAACATAAAAAACAGTTACTATTTCGAAAACATAATTCAATTTTGAGAGTATTTTTTTTACATAATTTTAATTTGTTAAAAATAACATTGAAAAGTAATATATTTTTTACCACCTGTCATCATTTCTATAGTGTAGTTACTATCAAGTATCAGCAGAATAGATTATCACTGGGATACCCCACAAAATATTGGTACACTGACCATTACTCAGCCTATCTAAATTTAAAAAAAACTTTTAACCACTTAATTAACTTCTCGTCCAAATATTTGCATACACTGAAATACTCGCAATTATATTCCGCTTCAAAATATGATATTATAAATGTATGTTGTTTAAAATTATAAAAACCTTAAAAAAAATATTTCAATAAAACAATAGTAAAAATTTAATTTTTGATTAGAAATTGTTTTTTACTGCCACTTTTTTAAAGCCAAATATTTTTAAAACATTGATTTGGTTTTACAATGATGTGTTTTTTTATTTTTGTGTCTATGTACACGATTAGTAGTCGTAAATAATGCTTCGATTTTCAACTTCAGTAGCTTATTCGATGGGAAAATGATACTCTAGTTGGTACTTTTGGGAGGTCAAAATTCCCAATAGTTTTCAAAAGCGCCCGGAAAACAGGAATTTTTACACAAAGTCAGTTTTTGACAAAATCAATTTTGGCTTTAGGGTTAACTCTAGAACAAATGAAAAAACAAAGTTCTTTTTTTACAACATTGGATATTCCCTCGATTCCTCATTTAGCGATTTTGTTATTTTGTTGTAATTCAAAAATGAGTAACAGTAGATACATGGAAATTTGATTTATTTTGAGCTCTTTATAGACAATTTCAATTTCAAATTTTTATTTTTTTTTTAATGAATATCAATAAAGATTTGTTTGTTGGGTAAAAAACGTGAACATTACTACAAGGCTCCTGATATATTAATACAATAACAGTTAAAAAAATTAAATTTTTTATGAACATTTAAAGTTTGAATTTTTACATAATATATCAAATTTAAAATTAAATAATTATTTTGTAGTTAAAAATGTTTACAATTTTATATCTAAATTACTTTATTCACAATAATATCATCAAATATACTTAGTATTTGCTCAGAATCGTTTTTTCTTATTCAATGATATTATATCATTGAATTCAAATTTAGCACCATTCATAACAGTGCCCCACTTGTAACGTACTGTACAGCAAAGCGATACCCACTTGTCCACCTTTTTAAAATGTTTATCATTTTTTAAAATAATGTCTGACATTAATTACTGGTATAAATAATTAAACATGAGAATAATTTATGACAATTAAATTGAATTTTAAGAAAATTGATTTTTTTTTTAAATTTAATCGGTTATATATAAGTGTTTGTAAAATAGTACAGCTTCTTTATGGACAGATTTGAATTTCAGATTGCAACAAATCTTATAGTTAGATCATAAGTAGCTAGCATTAATTATTTTTCTCAGCTCAATATTTTGAGGGTGAAGTGATTTTGAAGATTAGATAAAGCTATATCAGGATCAGAATCTAACCTCTAGCCTTGTCGTTTGCTACAATACTATATTCGAAAAAAAACTATGAATCATCTTAATATGATTATGATCAAAATTAAATCTCTCTTAGTCTTGGTTCTGAAAACCCCTAATTTTAAACTTATTTTACACATTATTATTATTTATTACCATATTTTATTATAGTTGCTGTTAATTCATCATCTCTAGCATCCAACCCTCCTCCACCACCACCTCCGCCACCACCACCTTTGTCAACAACAACAACTATCCCCATTATTTCATCACAATCAAATAATCAGAGAATGGCTTTATTATCTTCTATTAATTTGTTTGATACTAATAAATTAAAGAAAATTGTCAAATGATAAAATAAAATGTTATAGATATTTAAATTAGCAAAAATGTAGTTTCATTGTATGTATATTAAATTGTTCCTAAGGTGCTATTGATTATTTTTTAATAAAAATAATAATTGTTGATACAATTTAAATTACTGATTTTAAGGGTTGTCATATTTTTTGAGTGTTGAATGTATTTTTTCTTATTGTTAAAATGTTATGAAAATTATCTATATGTAATATTACATTTTCAGTAAGTTAATCAATATTATATTTTTGTACCTTTTTTCCTTATGAAACAAATATTTATATAATGTTATTATTTTTATATATACTTGACTTCAAAAATATTTAACCATTCAGTTTATTCTGAAACAGATAAAATAACCATCTTGCATTGTTTGTGTTGACTATTTAAAATAAAATATTTTATAACACAGTGTCCAATTCATTTTTGCCATAAAAATAAAATATCTATTATTGTTATTATTTATTGTAAAATTTAACAAAATTATAATTGTAACCATAATTATGTATAATTTGTTTGTTTGTTTGTTTTAAGTTTGATTAGTTACAACTAAAACAACTACTATTTTTAAACAGAAAATATTTGCTACTAGGTACCTTTATATCTAGTTATTCTATTAATTCCAGTATTAAATATTATCTATAAAATATGTGAATCAAAAATTAAATGTAAAAAACAAATTAGTTGGTACGTAAAAAAGTACCAATAAGGCTCTCTTTTTTTTTTAAATTGTGTAGCACGTTTCCATTGTAGTTGTATTGTCATTTTATATTATTCATTTTAGCTATTCATATTATTTTAATATTTTATCAACTATTATTTTACTAAACAATATTATATATTTATGTTTACAAAAAATAAAATAATTTATTTGTTAACTACTCTATTTAAAAATGTTTTAATAAGTAGGTTTTTATGTCATATGAATTATATTAATTTTTTTTATATTACCATTATTATCTAAATCAATATTGTATCCATGTTTTTATTTGAATATTATATAATTATTATTTGTTGTTATTAAAATTTTGTTTTTATATATCATAATAGTAAATAATAATTAGTAGTGACAAAAGAAGAGTGATTTTACTTTATGTCAATGGATATTATTTTTTTTTGACCAATAATTTATCAAGTCATTGACTAGATCAGTGGTTCCCAACCCATGGGCCGGGGCCCACTTGTAGGCCGCTGGTAATGTAGTTCTGGGCCGCATACATTGGTCGAAAATTTAAGCCAAGGGTGAGCAAATTTTAATTGGCAACAATATCGAGATTTTATGTGATTTCTTACACTTCTATATTTTTTCTATCATATTATTTGTGTGTGTTTATATTTTAAACCAGTATATTAGGTAAGTGGGCCTCAAAGTTTGTTTTACATTATTGGTGGTCCACATAACAAAAAGGTACCACTTCTCTAGATGATAGTGGCATTACCATTATTTTGAACTAGGTTGTGAATCCAACAGACAATCTGTGATGAGCACAGTCTAAACCACAATCTGTGGTGCTGTGCCCTGAGGACTACGCAGATAGCCATACCTCACAAGACATCAATAAATGAACACCTCTATCTTATATAATATGAAACATGTATTTAGTATTTAAGAAAACACTATACGTCCATAATTTGTTTGTTAAAAACTGTTTTAGCTAAGGGAAGAACCACCCACGCTGTAGTCCTAGACTAGGGGCCAGAAATAATTATTATTAAAACTAATAGCAAACATTAATAAACAATAATAGTAGTATAATAATCTCAAACTCCCTGTCTGAGAACCTCTCCGCCCCCCGGGTTGGACCATTCGAAACAAAATGTAGCCTATCTTATTGATTCTCCCTCAAATAGTATAATCTGTTTCTGTACAAAATTTAATCGCAATTGGATGAACGGTTTAGGAATTCATATTGGTATAGTTAGGTAGAATCATTTTTTTGTTATTATTATCAAATTATTACACCAGTATAGCAACTGAATTAAAAATTTATCCGATAATATTGATAAAAACTTCTACTTTAGAATTGATCTATAGGTCACCTAGATCACATTTGTGTATTTAAGTTCTGGTAGTTGAGATCTAGACTCTTATTGTATATAACTTATAATTTTTGATGTAATTTAATAACCAAAAAATGAAACTTACCCAATACTGTGTCAAGAGGCACCGACGGGAGAATGCATTTTAAATACCTATGTGTTTTATAAATGTATATTTTTATTTTAAACTTAGTATGGTAGTTTGTATGGTTCAATTTGGCATACGAAAAACAGCTGAAATAGAAAACTACAAAGATTTCTTTCTTCTTTTTTTTTTTTTATTGATCATTAAGCCCGGCATCTATGGCCATTAGCTGTTTGTTTGAAAGAGGGAGGGTACTGTTGGTTTGTAAACACGTGTGTTTGGTTTTGACAGAATTTCAAATTGGGCACCCGTAAGTTTCTGCCATGCCCGGTCAGGGGATGGCAGCCTCTCTCTCATTGTGGCTGCCCGAAGAAAAGGCAAGAGTGGTCGAGATTCAAACCGGGAGAAGCAGCTAAATAATGCAAATCGTCATCCACTATAAGACCATAAGGTTCAACAGCACAATTAAAACCGCTTTGAAATACAATTATAGCTTTATTCTCCATTACTTTACCATAATCAGTTGATCTAGAAGTAAATGACCTATACAACATATCATAAACTGTAGATCTACATAAGTGAAGTTGGTCGCATTTTACAAATTCTGTGCGTTTGTCGTAGTCCAAGTATTGACTGAATGAATGCACTTTTCTTTGATTCTAGTTCATTCATAGGTATATCATCGAGTAATGGTTCAGCCAAGCCATAATGTTCATCTGGTCCCTTTTGTTTAGAAATTTTTTTTACATTTTGGAGAAAAGGAGTTTTACATTTTCTTTTTTTTTTCACTTTTCATTTGTTTTGTTTTCAGATATTTTTTCCCAATATCTCCTACAGAAGGAAAATATTATATTTATTGTTAATTATTAATTATTTTTTTACTCACATTTAAATTATGACTATTTTACCTGGACTTATTTCATTAATTACATTTTTGTGTAATTTTCCAAGAAACTGCCCTGATGTACAAGATACAATAGCAGCTTCAACTCTAGTGTTGTATGATTCTTGTTGAGAAAAATTGATACGTTTACCTAGAGTCATAATGTTTCTATTTATATCTATAAATGTATAAGTTATACTTGAACCATTTATTTAAGAAACGATGCAAGTCACAAAATATCACAAATTGAGATTATGCGTGGAATGTGTTATCAATGAGTGAACATTTGCAAAAAAAAATATTTAATTTTAAGACTGTTTCACTACTGTAAATAACCAGTATGGAAGAGAAATTACGTAACACCTGGACTTGAAAATTAAAATAATATTTTATAGTTGTAATCAGGGGCGGACTGGGCCGGCGGGCTACCGGGAACTTTCCCGGTGGGCCACTGCTCAAATATAATTTTTATAACAAAATCAGTATGTATAAATATAAATTATAATTATTTTGGATTTTCATATCATAACGGTTGAGTGTGAAAAATTGTTTATAATATTATATTTGGTGTTTAAGATTTTAGATTTCGGTTCAGCTGATTGAACAGCCCCTCAGCATCAATGCCTAATCACAAATTATTATTTATAACTAGGGTGCAAATTTAAGTATAAATTAAGAAAAAATAGAAAATTAAAGAAACTTTTTTTTATTTTATTGTAGTGTGTTGTTTGATGATTTTGTAATATTTACTTATCTATTTTTTGTTTAAAATGGAAACTAAAAGAAAGGGTTTGGTTGAGAAAATCAGAGAGAGAGAGAAAGGATACTTTTATAAAAATCAAGTTAAAGTAGTTTAAAGAATGACCTTTGGTTTTCACACATTATGGATCAGTTATAGAGTAGGTAATAGAAAAAAGTAATGCATTATACTCTGCAGTACATGTAATTAAGATAAAATACTAAACACATTGAGAATCTCAAGTTATCTCCTGAGAAAATTGAAGATGAGTAGAGGATGCAACCATAATTTATTAATACTTTTTTACCATATTAAAGTGTTACATTTAGTGATGACGAAATGGTAAGGGCCGGTCAAAATATAGATTTCCCGGCCGAATAGTTGCCCCAGTCTGCCCCTGGTTGTAATTAGGCCGACTACGCTTATTTGAGTATAAACGTAAGTCCAGTATAAACCTATAGCAATTCAGTCAAGAATTTACACCACTGAGAATCGTTTATTGTTTATAGTACAGAAACTTAAAATGGACCCCACCTCCCCTCCACAAGACCAAATAAACTTTTTTATTTTAAATGTGTATCTCGTGGGGTTCTATCCATTAGACCTCAAGGTTTATCTACCATATATCACTGGTACCGTAAAAACAGTTTTTCTTGTTATTTCAGAATCACCTTTTTGTGACTTACATCGTTTTTCAAATAAATGGTTCACTTATAAACAGGTTATTGAAAATATTTTCAAAAACTTTAATACTTTTTGAGATAATGAGTGTTTTAAGCTCAATGAATCACCCTACATACATATATATTCAAAACATTTCTATCAGTTTACCTGATAAATGCTTGTTTATTATACTATTAAATTGCTGACCAACATTGTTATCCACATTCATTAGTAAACTGTCGGCATTTGTTACTAATTGATTAGCTAACTGCCTAATTTTGTCTATAACTTTCGATTTTTCTGCGTCATCAATAAAGCTGTTTTCGTTTAATTTGGGCCCATTGCAGAAATACTTTTCACATCGAACATGGGAACCCAAAATATGGTGAAAACTGTTCAAAATATCCTTGCGTAAACCTACACTTGTAAATAAAATAGTTAATATTTAATTATATTCATCAATAGTATTATTAGAGATCAAATTGCATGGCAAACAAAATAGGTATAAACTAAACAATAGGCCACCGACAGTTACTATTTCAAAATTCTAAAAACTGTGAAATTGATACGTAAAAGTGTATTTATATTA